ACTGATGTTTCTATGCTGTGTGTGTGTGTGTGTGTGTGGTACTGATGTTTTATGCTGTGTGTGTGTGTGTGTGTGGTACTGATGTTTCATGCTGTGTGTGTGTGTGGTACTGATGTTTCATGCTGTGTGTGTGTGTGTGTGGTACTGATGTTTTATGCTGTGTGTGTGTGTGTGTGTGTGTGTGTGTGTGGTACTGATGTTTCATGCTGTGTGTGTGCGTGTGTGTGTGGTACTGATGTTTTATGCTGTGTGCGTGTGCGTGTGCGTGGTACTGATGTTTCATGCTGTGTGTGTGTGCATGCATGCGAATACACGTGTAATGTTGTGAGGTATGTCCTAACCCGTGAACAATGACGATAGCTCATAGATGCAAACCCAACCCATCGCTCTTGCAAGAGCACTCTGCCCTGTGAAACTGGAAGAGCGAGTATCGTTAGCGTAAATTTAGCGTAATTTTAATCGATCTATTTTAATCAAGAATGATTTTAATGATCGTCATTTCTGTTTCGCTTAATTTCAATGGATCTATTTTAATCAAGAATGATTTCATTAGCAGTCCTCCATGTTTTTGCGTTCGTGTGCTACAGACATTGAGGACTACTTGCACAAATACCCGGACCGGACATACGAGGCGGGCAACTCGACGGTGGCGCCACCACGTGGCGGCAGCAACTACCCGGACCGGACATACGGAGCAGGCGACCCGACGGTGGCGCCACCACGCGGCGGCAGCAACTACCCGGACCGGACATACGGAGCGGGCAACCCGACGGTGGCGCCACCACGTGGCGGCAGCAAGTATCTTCCGCCGCTGATGGCGACGACACGATCGCGCTTGCCGCTCAACGCACTGCCGCAGAACGGAGCGCCTGACTCTGACTCTGAGTGAGTGCTGGCGCAGCCACGGGGGCACGACCCTCGGTGACCTCATAGGGGTCGCGACGTCTACGGTCGGGTTTCAATCGGACGCGCGTCGCACATGTTCATGTGTTAATCAGTAGTCGGTTGTCATTCTAGCGTTTCGTCGTGTCGTAGAAAATAGCTGACATCGTCGGTCCGATTGATTATCGATTAGAAAATATTAGAAAAAAGCAGCTGGAGTGCAGAGTGAGTCGATCGATTATCATTTATCAATTCTGGGATTGATTATCGATTAGGCGATTAAGAGTGATTGTATCGACGTATCTCGTGGATGTTTCCTGCGTGCTTGTGTCTGTGCTGACTCCTCGTGTGTCTTAACGTGTGTGTTTCTCTTTCTCTCGCAAGCCATCACCTTGGAACACGATAAAACGTAAGCTTTCGGGAGTTTGTCGTGAAGGCGCGGGTGCAGGCGACGTGTCACTGCGTGTGTGTGGCCATCCTGATCCTCTCACCCAGCCAGCCTCCCTCTCTCACCACATCTACCCTGACCCCTTAAAATATACTCGGCGCTGTAAAAAATCCCTTGCCTCTCTCCGTCGGTGATACTCGTGTTAAACTGAAGAGTAACTGACCGCAATTGCCCCCAGAATCTATGTCCACATCTCTGGTGTCAATACCCAACGAGTCGCGGAGCCCGCCTCCCGAGACCGGAAGCGCGTTTACCATCACCTGTTGCTCTTTTGTTTTGCAGTGCCGTAAGAGGGTGTGCCAGTTTTGACGTTCTTGTGTTTGCTTACAGAGGAAGCAACGAGACGCCCGTATGACGGCGGCCGTAGCGTGCCAGCGCCCCCTGGTGGCTTCCGGTCAGCAGTGCGACGCGGCCCGGTAGTGGACGGCGTCCCCCCGGCATGTCCGGCAAAAAAACGACACCGTTGTCTTGTGAAATCTCGGCCGGACGTGACCCCAGCCAGTCAGCGGATGAACTCGCGTGGCCCCCCGGCGCCCCCTAGTGGCCTGCATGCATATTATAGACACGACACATCAGAGATATTTCGCCTCGCATATATTCGTGTATATATTCCCTGCGTTGACATCACCGATACGCCACACTGATGATGATGTGACGTGTACATGCAGGGCTTCCTATGTTCCCATAGCAACAGACGGACTCTCTCACACTGATGATGATGTGACGTGTACATGCAGGGCTTCCTATGTTCCCATGGCAACAGACGGACGCACGAAGAGTAAGCGCTGAGACAGACATGAAGATTCTAATGACTGCAGGAACTTCTTTCGCTGAACTTCTCCTGAAACCAGACTCTCCGGCTCTCCGGAGGCGGAACGATGGAACGACGGCACGTTGTCTCGCCAGACGTCACCATCGCGGTTCACATAGCGTGCGACACATCGTATATACACACACACACACATATATTTACACGCACGCACGCATGCACGCACGCACGCACGCACGCACGCATGCACGTGGCTGCCAGGATAGAGTCACGTGCGACGAAATCTCGCGTCACCGCATCCTCTCCAGAGTGTCGCGTCTTTCTCATGCGTGGGCCAGAGCATAGTGATGCTGATGCTGCTGCTGCTGCAGTGGTTGTGAGTGTATCATTCGCCTAGCTTTACACGTGCTGTGTTGCGAGGCCACGTAACTTTACCGTAATGCATCTTGTGAGTGTAGTAGTGCATCGCTAAACCGGTTAACCTCGGTTAACTATCGGATTAATCTGTCGCGGATGTTTTAACAGCGTGTTGTGCTGCGATGCTTCTCGACGTCTTGTCATCGTAAATAATCGTACATATTTTGAGTAACGCATCGTCGTCGGTGTCTTCGGTGAGTGAAGGTCACCTGAAGGTTGCTGTGGCGTGGTGTGTGTGTGTGTGTGTGTGTGTGTGTGTGTGTGTGTGTGTGTGTGTGTGTGTGTGTGTGTGTGTGTGTGTGTGTGTGTGTGTGTGTGTGTGTGTGTGTGTGTGTGTGTGTGTGCATGTGCGTGTGTGTGCATGTGTGTGTGTGCATGTGTGTGTGCGTGCGTGCGTGCGTATGCGTGTGTGCGTGCGTGCATCCGTGCGTGTGCGTGTATCGCCTTGTGTACTCATTCTCCCCTTAGAAGATATATATATATATATATATATCCAGACGAAGAGGGGGTCGTGAAATTGTGTCTAGGTGTGCACGTTGTCCATAGATATTTATTACGAAACTTGTGGCAATCCATGGAAAGAAGAAAGGTGAATTACACGACCTGCTCTTGTGTGTGAGGCACCGGCAAGTACATCTAAGCTGGCCTCGGCAGTGCGTGTTGTTTATGTCGTCGTGTGTTGATGAACACGCAACTGTCGCATGTGCGTCGTGCACACGCCAGCGAATATACGTTTTAACTAATTATATAAGTGTGACGTGATACGTGACACGTCGTTGTCGTTGTCGAACTACACGTACGATTTGTCATGTCTGATTTTACATTGCCTTGATTTACATCGTCTTATTTGACGTTGTACGATTTAAAATTCCCCTATTTTTGACATTGACCGGTTAGACATTGTCTGATTGGAACTTGTATGATTTGACATTTCCACTGTTTTACATTCCATGATTTGACATTTCCACTGTTTTACATTCCATGATTTGACATTTCCACTGTTTTACATTCCATGATTTGACATTCTCTCCTTTTACATTCCCTGATTTTATATTTTTAATTTGAAATATTATTCTAACTGCCACAATGCGTGTCTATTGCGCTTATTGTTCATGAACACAATCAGCGAAATTAAGTTAAACCCTGTAAATCGGTCTGTGCTTCATGCAGTGATTTTTAAATGTAGATTCGTGTTCGTATAGTACGACCTCTGCTCTACAGGCGCTGGCAGCTTTTCAGCCTGAGTGAGAATACGCATCTGTGACTGTTACACGAGCTTTTTATTATCTTATCAAGAAAGAAGCGTACCTCTGTTATCGTTTTGTTATTAATGATCCTCGTTTTACCACTCGGTGGTGGAGTCTGTTGGCTGGAATAATGTAATACACGGTATGCATTAGCCCGTGGCTTTAATCAGTGTTAGGTTTGGACTTCGGGAAGGTGAGAAATAATAGCTGTTGAACATGGGCGGGTAGAATTCAATACGTAAAGTTTCTGTACTCAAGCCGACATTAACAGAAATCTCGTCGGCCCAGCCTGGTTAGTGCAATCGTTGTTCGCTACCCCCTATTTAGATACCAGAGTTTATGTGTTGCCGAAGACCAGCCTCCGCGCGTTATATATAACTCCCTTCGCGTTATATGTTACGTAAGTTCGCGTTCCTGTCATTATGAGGTGTGATGGGTAAGGACTGGTTTATTTGCGCTCGCCTCTGCTTATCTGCATTCATATATTGCAGTTTTCTGTGTTTTTATGATCGAATGGTTATGAGATGGTCGACTCTTGTGTTGCTGTAGTTTTTTGTAAATATTTGCAAGGTGCGTAGATCTTGATCATGCTTGTTATAGTAAATTTTAAAAGGCAAATCGAGGTCCAGGATTTAGCTTTTGTACAGTTTCGTTGTAAATTTTTACTCGAATTTTCTTGTAAAATAAAATGTGTTCAGTAAACAACAGTTCGTTCTATTGTGGTTCACTATTTTCCTGGTACACAAACGTACACATTCATCGTATAACACAACACTAACAATAAATAAATGAAATCCCAATAAACGTAGTAAATGACTCAACATTAAATAATACTAATATAGGTCTCAAGGGTGATCCACTATAATTGACTAAATAACGAATAAATTCGAAGCTCCGAACTCGCTTAAAAATCTACGCTCTTTTGCTGGGGGCGCCACCATCCAATGAAATGATGAAATTCTATCAAAGTACGTACTATATATCATAATATGTGATATACATGATTTGATTCCATAATAAATTTTGAATCTTAGCGCCATCTAGTGTAAAAAATAATTATAAAGTGCGCTTATATGGAATAACGTAGATGTGACGGCCTTCTCTCTCGCCTCACTTCCTTACTCCCCTCTTCCAAATGGTATCTCCCAAAATCACTCAAGCATGGAAAAACTTGCAGGTAAATAGCCGTATTTCAGACGAAACTTTTTCTCCCCGCGAAGCACAAAATGTCACATTACGCCTGTAATACACGCGCACGCGTGCGTGCGACCATACCCGCGTGTGCGCGCCCGGTCGCGTGTGTGTATGTGTGTTTTTGTGACTGTAAAAACGCGTATTATAGCCGTATTTCCACATTTTGTGCTTTGCGAGGTGAAAAAGTTCAAGCCGAAATACGACTATTTGTGTGCTGAAAATTTCCCATGCTTGAGTGATCTTGGGCGATAGCATTTGGAAGAGGGGGAGGCAACGACTGAGGGGAAGGGGGAAAAAGGGAGGCAGAAGGAAAGAAAAGAGAAAACAGGGAGGGGTGGAGGGAGGGAGGAATGCAGATAGAGATACAAATACAAACGCACGTACCAATATATATATAGCACACACACAGGAACGGCTGCACAGGAGAATTAAGTTGAGGGTTGAGTATGTATGGAAGATTACAGGACAAACATGAAGCTGTTATTGCTGTAGCTGCAGCAATAAAACCTCACATCTATATTAATGTATGTTAATGCTATGTATGTATACAATATAGGGCTATACCGGAGCAAGTGTTCACACAGAAGAAACCGCTCACTGATACACTTATTACTGATCACCCTCTCATGTTGAAACTATTTATCCGGTACCGGATTAATTAACTAGCTAAAGTAGCATATGCTACGGCCCCCCGCATTTTCAACGGCCCTGCGTTAAATGCTTGGAAGCTATTAATGTCGATTCAGTGATTCGGCACTTGCTCTATTACCGTGGACTTTTTCCGATTATAGAAATCTAGGAAATGTAACTTTTAAATTGTAGTTTTGTTACCTTAATTGATACCTACTTGTAAGTAATACTATTACTGAAATGTCAGACATAATATTATTTGTTTGTCGTTTGTAGTTTGTCGTATTATCTGTCTGTATGGCAAATGAAACAATTTAATTACTTTACTATACAAGTAAAAAAAAATTGTGTGCTTTAATATTTATGTGTATTTTTTTAAATTTAGGGCCCCTTTATAACATATGCTACAGGCCCCGCACTTGCTTAATCCGGCCCTGTATTCATTACACACGCGCACGCACGTACACACATACACGCACGCACGTACACACATACACGCACGCACGAACACACATACACGCACGCACGAACACACATACACGCACGCTCACATACACATACACGCACGCACGAACACAAATACACGCATGCTCACATACACATGCACGCACGCACGAACACACATACACGCACGCTCACATACACATACACGCACGCATGAACACACATACACGCACGCACGAACACACATACACGCACGCACGTACACACATACACGCACGCACGAGCACACATACACGCACGCACGAACACACATACACGCACGCACGTACACACATACACGCACGCACGAGCACACATACACGCACGCACGAACACACATACATGCACGCTCACATACACATACACACGCACGCACGCACGCACGAACACACATACACGCACGCCCACATACACATACACACGCACACACACACAAACACACGCAGGCACA